GGGTGGGGGGGGGGGGGGGGGCTTTATGTATAAGTGATTAATGTGGGGTCTGTTCTACATTAAGGCTGCATCGCCTGCTTGACTCTCAATTTATTGCTGGTTTATCTTCACATGTTGTTGTCTTTCTCACCTCACAGAGGACCTAAACACAAGGAAATGTTCTAACATGGTTATAACATGAGGTGATACGACCTCACTATACTTACAGCCAAGCTGACCTATGTTCATTATTAACAAAAGCTAATCCTGTTACACACTGTCCAAAGACATGGAATCACGTGAACCTCACTGTATGATGATGTAAATGAGCAAAGAAAAGCATGTTCTAACGGCAGACAAGGGCAATAGGGGTGTATGAGAATGTCTGCGCACAAGACTGTGTGTGTGCGGATGCTTAACAAACTGCACACTAATAAACAGTGGTCATTCTGTATGACAGAGGGCTAAGCAGCTAACAACAGATCACAGTAGTTCCTTTACAATGCTGCACCACTGGCCAACATAGGGTACAGTAGTGCACACTGTTGAATACATCTCCCTGTGTGTTTATCCTGAATTGGCTTCATATTAATTCACAACTGCCCAGACAATCAGCTCAATCTGGCACAAGGTGTCAGCTCTGTTAAAGGAAATGAATAAACATTCAAACAGGCTGGTCAAACTCAAACCCCACTCTGCGAAATAAAATGTAAGGGAGCCATGCTTGCTTGCACAGTGGCTCATGTTGCCACTACTGCCTCATAGCCCTGGTGGGCAACCAACAAACCAATCAGCCACCTTACAAAGTCCTTAACTGCTCAAATAAAGCAAAACGCTGGCAATTAGTGGCTGCAGGGTTCCTCAAATAAGCACCTCTTCCTTGACAGTTCAGGATAATTACATTCTCTTCTATATCTTTTTCATTTTAGCATCAGACTGAGCCTTTGCAGGCACATATTTGTGGGATGGAGAGAACTGGCGGTTTTATAAGCCAGGGAGGGATAGAGATGCATCTCTCAGCACCACATGAGAGAAAATGCGGAGGCCACAGGATCTCAGCACATCTGGGATGCAGCAACCAACCAAAAGAAATCCATCTTTCTTCTCTCTCTCTGTCATAATCTGGGCCTTCATCTGTCTCTGTGTGTCTATTCACTGTCTGCAAATGTTTCCTTTTCTCACAATCACTGTTAGCACGGCTGGTCTTCATGTGGGTTCACAGCTCCTAAATGCAGCAGTGGATATTTCACACTCTGGTTATGCAGATTGGATAGATGCCTACTACCAAACAACAAGACCAAGGAAATCTGAGAGCACAGTGGTTATTGTTTGAAATGGACTTTCTATAAAGTTAAGCATGTGTGATCCACCCCGCACATCTTTAGACCCTAAAGACTCACTTCCCACATCTTTACCCACTCATTTGTTTACTCTTGTGCAGTAGCTGTTGTAAGCTCCCAGTGTGTTTACCTGTGATATTCTCCTGCTTAGGGATTATTCCTTGCAAAGGTGTAGATAAACAATCCTCATCGTGTGGCGACACCTGAACAGCCACCTCCACAGGGTGACACACCCTCCGCGGGTGATGAAGGTGGGTCCGCGAGTGAGAGGAGGATGTGGAGAGGGGCGAGGCGAGCGGGGAGGACGGCGGCCTGTCCAGAGGTTTGTCTGTACAGAGGCTCCCGTGGCACTGTCTCCGTTTGTGTTCAATGAACAGCAGAATGTCAGCCAGGGGGAAGCGGGAGTGGCACTGGCCGCAGGTCAGCAGGTCCTGGTCCCCTTTTAGGGGCTCGCCCTGAGCCACTCTCAGCCTGGGGGAGTCCTGAGAGTCTTCTTCTGGTAAAACATCTGACAGCGGCTCAGCTGGATGGGCAGGCAAGAAAGAGAAATGTGAAATACAGTACAGAGAGAGGTGGCGCTCTTATAGTGCTATAAGCAACAGAAAGCCACATTACTGAGTGTCAATATATAATAAACCATCTACAGGAATAAGGTCAGGCTGGAAAATGTGTATACAATATTTTTAGGCACTCAGACTTTGATAAGGACTGACACGTTCAGCTTGCAGGCAGCTGCCAAACGATTAAGTTGCTTGACCTTCTTTATTGTGCTGCCAATCTCGCTTTTTTAATGAACCTAACACCTCTGAGAATCAAAAAATAGATTCTAATTTGAGTTCAAGATGATTGGACCCCATTTCGTTAAAAGTGCTGGGATCTCGTGAACCAAGGTTAGAAATTGAGGGGTTGGATGTGGAGTAGGTCCCTGAAGTACCGACAGAGAGAGAGAGAGAGGACAGAAGGGAGAGAGAGAGAGAGAGAGAGAGCATTTTTAGCTTGTAATCTAGCCACATGGTATACGACACTGGGCGCCTCAACTGGGATGTTGAGATAAGATGTGATGAATTCTTGCCGCCAGTTCAACCTTTAATTCTGTGTCAGGTCAGACGAAAAGGTGGCAAGGGACTATGCAAGATAGGCCCTGTTACCTGTATGTTCAACTGCTTTAAAGATGAGGAAACTCGCCCCTATTTTACTGGAGCTTATCTTAACCGGCTTATGCCATGGACATAGGCGAGACATGTGAGGCTGAGTTAGGTGGAAAGATTTTCTTCAAACCAAGTAATCTCATTTTGATGCCAAGCAAGAGTGATGTGAATAACTTTGAAAACTAAAATATAATCCTTTTTACAGACATCTGACTGCACCTGAATTTAAAGTAGTTTGGTCCATGGCTCCCAGTGAGTTGCAGGAGGTCTGTCCCACTATCAGGAACATCATTAGGCCTCTTTGCTTGCCATTTTAGACTATTATAAATTTCATGCCTCACGGAAATATAAACAAAGGAATCATTTTTAAATTTTAAAATGCTTTTAAAGGGCACATAAATGTGTATGTATATACATGGGCATGTGCATACAGTAGGTAAATGTCCTCTTTGCCTATAAATGTCTGTTTGCAACATGACACCTCTTATATAAGAATGTTATTATGCAGTCTCAATTATTTTGCTGTTCAAAATAATAATGTGACCTTATAAAAGCATCATTATTATGCCAACCTAAAGGTAGCTTATCTCAAAGGATCTGGGTCAGAGATAAATTATATAGACTAGATGAAACCTCTGGAAGCTTAAAAAACTTAAATAAAATGCATATTGTCTGTGTTTGTGATTGTTCCATGGACACAGGCTTATAACTCTTTATATTTATTTTCCTCTTTAAAAAAATACATGGGCTTTACAAGAGCCATAAAATGTATATTTACTTCTTTCTGCTAAAACGATCCTCTGCATGCGCTTGGTCAAACAGCACAGGGATAAAGTGGATCAAGTTCAAGTTCATAAGTGCCCTACAGGACTATAATCGTGTTGCGCCCCCTACTGGCAAACCTTCTGACAATTATCCGACAAATGAATGTATACATGTTACGAGAGCATAACTGGCTTCAGCTGAAATAGGAACCGCATGCAGAGACACATTTGTGTTAAAAATAATATAATTAAGGGTTTTTTTAAAGCCTTCTTTCTTATGGGCTCCTAATCTGTGAACAGTGAATTATAACATTCTGCATATTTGGAAACATCTCCACATTTTCTGATGCGCGTAAGAGTCCATTGATAAACCACTTTCTGCTGTCATCAGACGAATGGTGGAAACTAATTCTCCAGCAAACATAAATATGGCCTACCTCGACAGCGCAAAAAAAGCTTATCGATCTCAATCAACACCCAGCAATTTTATCACACGCGCGTAAAACCAGCTTCCTGCTTTTCTCTCTCTTGTGATCCCGAAACAGCATCACGCACGGAGATTCTTGTGGGTTTATGGAACATGTAACTATTAATGACGCTAGGGGATCTATTACACATTGAATAGTGTGTTTAAAGAGCAGCTGCAATGAATTTGCGGCGAAGAAACGTTGTTTCTGCTGTGTAACACACACGAGGTCTCCGCGATGTGGAGAAGTGGACGTAAACACAGCTTCCCAGTGTCCAAACAAGCTCGGATCTCTGTAATTAGAACCGTACAACAAAAAAAGAAGGTGGGCTGCACCGTAGTAGTGGAATAGGTTTACAAGCGACACCTGAAAACTTCTCAGCGAACAGCAGCGGTCGTGAGACTGAGCTGCCTTCATATAGGCAAAGGACTCTAAGACCATAAAGCCCGTGCATGTCCTTTAATGGCGAAAGAAACCTTGAAAGCTGTGCCATATAACACGGTGACCACCACAAGTTGAAGCTCTCTTGTCACGCTGTTTCAAAACTTTCACCGGATGATTGAATAATAATTTAAATGGACACGTTCGCTTGCGTTTTGTAATTTCTGTCAGGACGGTTGTGGCGCTGTGCGTGGCCGTATCCCACCTATTTTAAATCCCCCAAGGAAGTTGCCCTAAACGAAAAGAAACAAGAGGTGGCTGAAGAAAACAGCAACATTGTGTAAAAATATGATTTCTCTCCACTTACGCGAAAACTCCCGTTTGCTGAGGTGCTGGGGTTTGCCTTGCTTGCGGCGAGACATGTTGGTTCAGAGGCGGCTTTTCGGCTTCACATTAGGAAATCCTCTCTACAAGGTAGACTCCAAGTGAAATATCTTCATTGATGCGTCTGTCATCCAAGTAGGAAAGGAGGAACAACTGCAGATCACACAGAGGTGGAGGGGTAGCTCGCTACGGGCTGTACTGAGCTCTTCATGACTTTTTCGCAAAGAGAGAGTGATGGGGGTACGGCAAAACCCCCTGGGCTGCAAGTTCAAGTGCGGACGTGACGTTCCTTCGAACTTGAACGTCAGGAGACGGACGGACTAAGGCGTACAAAACATGGGCAGGGCAAAGCCGGCCAGTGGGAGGGGGGACCAGCCATAATAAAAACCAATGGACACTCATTATGGACTACCTATGGAAGGGAGGGGGGGGGAATATGAAGAAGAGAGACCCCGAAGACACCAATGGACAGAGGGGATCCAATGGACGGAGGTTTCAAGGGGGCTGGGCCAAGGGAAAGGGGGGACGAGTGGGGGACTCCAGTTATCCAAGAAGTAGAGAAGCAGAAGGTGCGTGAACCAAAGAACCTGAGGTTTCATTCATGTATTAGTTTATATTCTAATATGAATATACAGTGATTATGCAAATTTACGACTGGAGCTTGTAGCTATTGGCCTGTTACATGATGATAGGCGTTTGTGCTTTTATTAGGCTATAATCGTTACTTAGGCTATTATCATTCTTACTGAATGTTATTGTGTTGTCATGACGCACGGGGGTAAAAAAAACAATTGTTTATTTTCCTCCCATGTTGTTACATTAGTTTGATGGTGAGGCTCAAATTTGCTGAAAGGGACGAATAAGGGTTTCCCAGTCAGATATTGTATTTAATGTCCAACTCCTGGACATGTTAACAGTCCTGGCCTAAATGCAAAAAAAAAAATGGCAACATTAAATGATATTGTGTTAATTGTCCAGATGTGAGCACATGGGATTATTAATAAATAAGGGGACTTTCTCCTCCCCACTGTCACCAAGTGCTTGCTCGAGGGAGATTTGTTGGTTTTTCCTCTCTAAAAATAATATAATAAGGTCTAAACCTTACTTCATAAAGTGTCCTGAGACGACTTGTGTTGATTTGTACAAACAAAATTAAAATCAATACAAATTTAAGCAAAAGCAATATAAAAAATTTAAAATACATTTTAGCATTTACTTTAAAATACAATTCCTTCTGATTTATATTAAACCCCATAATTGTATTTTATTATTGTTGCATTAAAGGTGATTTATCAGTTTTCAGAATCATTCTTGTAACAATAACGACTCCAACCTAAAATCCACAGTCAAAAGCATTTGAAACCCCCGAAAACGCAAAACAACAGTGTAATAAACTGTTATGGTCTGTGTTGTAATATTTATAGAAAACATGGGCCCTATTCACGCGATTTATCTGCTCGGGTTTAGCTGGGAACCAGGCAGTCAAGTCATTTACAATGACATGCAACCAAGCAAATAATCTGACATTTGAATTTGGGAATGTGGTTTCACTGCGAAAGCTTAATGTTTGTTTAAACTGCCAAATCCACCTTTGTTGTGATGAGTCTATGTGATTTACATAAAACTGCCTTTTTCATTTTAATGTTTGTTTGGTTTCATATCGCGATTATATGAATTAGAGTAGAGAAAAGAATGAGTTTGAGCCACAATAGTCCCACAATAATGCAGACAGGGGCCCATAAACAACAATCAGCTGTCACTTGCAGGACAGGTAACTAATTAACATGACCTGTGCTGGTTTTCTGAACATACTAATAGTGTGCTATAGATTTTATTAAACTTATTTGTTATTATTTAAGTAATTGTTCTGGTGCCGGTGTAAACATACTCAGACAGACTCAGCACCTAAGCCCTGACCCGCATCCCAGCTCAGTACTTTGGCGCCATCTACTGTTTCAATTCAAGATTGTCTCAGGATGCAAATCTTAATGCAATTAGGCAACTTTATCATAAATGAGCAGTGAGCTGTGCTTAAAGTGAGCCTTTTCTTAAAGGTTTAGTCCCTCTGTACTCATAAATGTGTTAGTGTAGCTTTGTTTGTGCCTCACTGTGCAGAATGACGCCTGTGTAGAGTTTGAATTCACCTTGACAAGAGAAAGTTTCCCTGTGCTCATCTTTACATTTCAGTTCAAGACATAGGCTATAACACAAGCATCACAACTTTGGACTGTGGTCCAGTATTCAGCTTACACAAGTGTGAATTTTGAAACATCCAGTGTATGTCTACTTTTCCATGAGTAGAGATCTGTTTTTATTGTCCAATTAAATATCAGTTAATGAAATGTACTATTATTATTTTTGTGGCAGTCGTCCCTCTCCGCAGACATCCCACTTTCGACTAGAAAATGGTTAAATAACAAAATCTATTTATTCTTAGATTTTCTTTTCAGTGAGAGGAGGAGGAGGAGGACATGTTATTTTAATTTTTAAAAAAACGTTTTGTGTGAAAAAATATATTAGACAAATTAGAATTAAATGCTAATCATTGTTTAATTCTTAAAACATGTTTAGAGGGTAACTTTATTAACTGCACAGAATTCTTTTGTGCTGGTGTGTCAACTACAATTTAAATATAATGTAAAATCCTAATAACACGGCTAATCAGATACTCTTTAAAATAATCTTTTTAAAAGGGCGATTCAATACAAATATTTTCAAAACCTTAAAAAAAAAATAACAATGTAAAATGACATTTCACACTATTATAGCCTATTTTCATGCTTAATATTACAGTCTATGTAATCATTTTAAGATATGCCATTTATGTATTAGCCTCTATCAGAATAAACACCTTGAGTTGTGGCATCTACTTTCCAACAGCCTTTGTGCATTGCTTTATATTCTTTGTATGGGGCCATTGTCCAAAGTTCCACAGTCATATGGGCTGATATGTGCCACACTATAGTGTTACGTAATCCCGCGGGCTCTTTCTACGAGCACATAGCGCCACCGTGAGGCCAACACGCAGCACTGCTGAAGGAGCTGGGCTGGGCAGCGGGTTTGCAGGAGCAGCAGAGGCGCCCTTCATAATCCTCTACATATCGGATGCTGATTGTCCGTAGAGCACCTGGTGAGTTACATTTGTTCTCCTCTGTTTGTTTTCTATAACACACCGGCTCTGATGTGTTGAGCCGGAGGAGGATGGAGACGGGGAACGAGCATCGCAGTGTTTGGGTGACAAACATATGTGTCATCCATAACGGGAGAGACTTGGCAGCACATCAGCAGACAGCCTCCATATACTGATTTTCAATATCAGGTGATGCTTGTTATTGTAAATCGGTCTAAATTAGCCTGGATTGAGATAAAGAGCGTGCGTGAGTGTATGTCCTGGTCGACACGGCTCAACACGCTTGAAATAACAAGTCGGTAATCACCATCCGCGGCCGATGCACTATAGCTGTGCATGTATTTATATAATAATGTGCATGATTTTTTTTCCATAATATTGGGGTTATTTTAACTGAATGTTCTTCCGTGCAGTGGTGTTATTATTAAATGGCTTCATGATAAACGCTGAAGCGAAACATGGCCTAACTGGGCTCTAACTGGGCTAATTTTCATTGGCTGACTGGTGCCCATCATCGCGCCGCCGCGTTCAGGCACAGTCTATGTATTATCACTTGCCGAATGAAGTGATTCATATCCGACAGTGGATGGAGTCATGTGTGGTCAAGCGTCTAAAGGGGAAATGTGGGCCACTAGAAGCCGGGCCACTGAAGGGTTAACCGCGTCCATCGCTCCATAGGAAGAGAGGCTGTCAGATCCCATTGGGATCGAGCTGCTTCACAAACAGTAGCCCCAGATATGACAAAGTATGTAATCAAATCACCTATGGCTCCATCAGAGCGTGAGTCAGCAAAGCCCGTGCGCTGGTGATGCTCCCACAGGAAGAACCGGCCTGCTGTGTGTCTCAGTGAAAAGAACTGTTGATGGTGTATATGGATGGGAATCCTGACCACTGCACAGAAATATATGAGAGAATTATGGGGAGAAGAAAGGTGGGTTGTTAAGGAGAAAGATCATTGTTCTCTTTACTTTCTCTCTAACTTCCTGCCTGTTTCTGGCCTGTGTGTGTGTTGCCCTCTGTGTGGGGATGAGTGTACTGGCTCTCTGCACAGCAGCAGTTTCATTAGCAACCCTGACGCACATGTATCATTATCTCTGTCTTTCTGGATCTCACTAATTTAACCCATGCCACTGTCACTTCCTCCTTCTTTGTGTACAATATCTAACTGCTTCTCTTCTTTTTTCAGTGCTGTGGCTTTGTGGATGTGGTGACAGGGTGACTCCTGAGCAGTTTAATTTGGGAGTTTCAAAGGATGCCTGGAAATCTGTAAGCGGATAGTCAGTTTTTATATTTAGTCTATTGTTTTTCTTTCTTTCATATTGTTAGCAGCCCTACAAGCACAGATAATCATGCCAGAGTCCTTGGCTGCTACCTGAAACAGCTACTGTACACATGTGACATGTACACTCAGATGATGAAGTAATGTGCATGCTGTAAATGTATGAAACAGTGTCTCATTCACACAGCTTTGTAAAAACATATCTTTTTATTGATCTACATATGACTCATAAGAAGAAACAGGTGAATAGCTAGATACACAAACACATACTGTGCAGCTTAATGTTGTTCCTGTTTTCAGTAGCATGCATTAAGGGTCAAAGGTGAGCTAGCAAGGCAGAGATGAGTCTGACTTCCTGGTTCCTGGTGAGCGGCGGGGGGACGCGTCATCGTCTCCCCAGGGAGATGATTTTTGTGGGGAGGGACGACTGTGAGCTCATGCTACAGGTAAAGTGCTATTTCTCCACCGGATACAAGCTCTGAGCTGCCACTATTCATCTGGCTGGGTTAATATCTGATGTAGTGAGATTTGCAGGAATTACAGTGAATCTTTTGTGATGTAGTCCCGCAGTGTGGACAAACAGCATGCCGTCATCAACTACGAGCCGAATACAGATGAACATAAAGTTAAGGACCTGGGCAGCTTAAATGGGGTGAGTGTGTTATTTACTATTTTGGGACTTAGGGGCCCGTCTCCAATTTTATACATACACTTAGGTTTACCTGTCAGTGGGAGTACAGCCTGTGAAAACAGATATATAATGCCTACTGTGGGTCTGGAGGGAGCTCTCTGAGGAAATGACCCTGATGATGTCACCCAACTTTCAACTACATCAAACTCCTTGCATAAACTATACCAGTGCAAAGTGCCCATGGCTGCTCATTTTGCTTGTTTCCAGCCATTTAATGTTTAATCGTGGGTATCTCTAGATTATCTTGGCACCCCTCATAACTCCAAATAGTCTATATAATATATAAAACCAAAAAGCCTCTTCCTATAAACGAGAGGATAGTTCGTGAACACCCACAACTCCTGCTGCTAGTGTTGTGTCTCAAGTGGACAGCACAAACTGCGATGGCATTCATAAATTAGAATTTCTCCTCAATGGAAAGGTAAGCAGTGGTATATGTACTGATGAAAAGAGATGTGTAACACCCTAAACAAAGTGGGTAACTGAGAAACACCTTATTTTAACTGGCATAATGCAGACATAGTAACTTCTTCAGCCTAGCAACAATTCTGTCTAACGTTATAGAAACAAGGCATTAACAGACATGCAGCATGTGTTTTTTTACCCTTAAGACCCACCGAGTCGTGGAAACATCACTCCCTTTCAAGTAGCACCAAGATCATGTGTCAGACACACTGGGCTCAACCAGCCAAAACAAACAGTTACTATGCTCTGGGGGGAATCCAGTGTTGATGAGCTGATCATTCACCGCCACGGGGCGCTTAACAGTCCGGCTGCTTGTAGGTTAGACCTGGTCAGGTAAAACAAGGAGTCCCCTGTACCAGAACATTCCTGGACATGCAGTAACCTCAGGGCCTGTGTTTTTCTCCACATCCTCTAGTCACAGTGCAGCAGCAGGAGGTAAACTAGCTTCACAAAACCAGGCGCAGTCAAAAAATTCTGCTTTTATAATGGCACTGGTAGATGTCGTTTTTTTTTAAATAAGCTTTATTGAAAACATACATAACAAACAAGGCTTTATAACATTTTGACAATATGGTGGAGGCACCGGTGGATGTCAGGCATGAACATGTAACAGCCTGGAGAAAATGTCCATTCAAGGAGATCCATAAACTACCACATAATACTTTATTTTGGTAGAAAAAAAAAGTCTCACAAGCGACATTTTGCCCGTCCTGTATATATCAGTTACTTCTACATAGAAATAATAGAACATTCGGGCACCTCAATTTTTGAGCTTTAGGTCACGTCTAAGATGATAATTCACTGTTGTAACATTGTAGATAAGTCAGAAAACAAGGAAAGGCATGCCATGGCTCTTTAAACTTCAGGATGTCTCAGCCACTGTCACTTCAGTTTTGGCCTTTTTTTTTAAATCTGTCTCTCAAGCCACCTAACTTTATGGAACTGCAATATTAAAATGCTGACCTACCCTTTAATCTTTTAAATTAGATGAAGAAAACTACTTAGAACAACAGTCCCTAATACTGTAAGGGAAATAAAATATGTATAATCAGACTCTAATTTGTTATTATTGCATAAAACTATTGATTCCGTGCTGTATAAATATACTTCTAAATCACTAGCGGGAGGTTGGTTCAGTTTGTTTGAACTATAGTAAAAGAGTAGCTTTTGTTATCAGTGCTATATTTAGCCAAACACTAAGATGTCCTGAGTCTGTTCTAAAATAACAATATGGTTACTTCTTTGACTGTAAATCATTTTGCAAGACAGGACTGGCAAACAGTGCTGGGGTTTGATATGCTAATGCAATAATAATTAATTCAGAATAGCAGAGAAGCTCACTTTTGAACAAGGCTCTTTGTATTGTATGTTGTTCTTAACCACGTTCTGCTTTTGTTTGCAGACATTTATCAATGATGTCAGAATACAGGAGCAAATCTATGTCACACTGAAAATTGATGACAAATTGAGGTTTGGATACGATATCCTTTGAATATGTTCTGCTGTTATTTGTCAAGCCTGTAGTAGTGGCACACTGTGCAGCTCCAGTGAACATGGACAACTTTGTTCTTGAACAGCTGTGAATGTCCATTACACTCTGTCTGCACCAGAGATAAGGCTAACACCATATGTTTCTTACAGTTTTTTACCTTAACCTGCCACACATACCAACCAGTTCACTGTGGTCCGAGGCGAGCTGCATATTCCAGAGGAGGCTCTCAAGGTTAGACAGCCGGTTGTGCACATAGTGAGAAAACCAGAAGCTCTGGTTCACATGTTAATTGACAGGGCAAATATGCCTGATCAGCGGAGGACAGCCAGAAAGCTCTCTCATCACTTTGTAGAAATAATGTGGACATGTGGATTTTTGTCAAAGAGGGTGAATAATTTTGCTGAACTGCACAAAAACTATTTTTCAAGACTGATGAAGCTGCTGTTTCATCACAGCAAACTGCCCAGGTAGCTGCAGAAAAGATAGGATTTTATCTTAATGAGGTAGAGCAATTTCATCGCTAAAATTCAGTATGTCTTTTCAATGATAGGCTATGAAAGAAAAAGCATATTCTGGAGATATGCCGTATTAATATGAGGCATTGAAAAATAAACTGAATCTAGAAGAACTTCTAGAAGTTCATTACAGAACTGTTATTCTAAACTTTCCTTGCTGCTCTCGTCTCATCTGTCAGCACGAGAAGTTCAGCAGCCAGCTCCAGCTGAACCAGAAGAAACCTCCTGAGACAGAATCATCCAAACAAGAGGCAGCAGTGCCAGTGTGTGAGGGGGCAACCGCCAGACCCCCTGAGACCAGCAGGCCAGAGGACAAGACAACAGGTGAGCTTGATTTGATTTGATTTATTCTTTCAAGCATGTAAAGACAGTTGATATGTCAACACATAATTTTACACATATCCAGCAAATGCTAATCCAATATCAATTTGCTTATAACTAGTACATTCTTGAATGGAGTAGGAAGAAGTCAGACTTATCCAGTCCTACCCCATGACATCATCTTACCATCATTGGTTTGCAAGCAGTATCTCTACATAAATAATTCTCTTCTACACCACACAAGTAATATACTAAAGAATTATTACAAAGTGTTAACATTCATACACCACACCCACAATGTTCCATCTAATTAATCATTAAGCCTGTTCTTGCATATATCTTGATTGACACATACCTTTATATTTATGTTTAAACTCATCAATTCTATTACTATTTTTTATGTCCACACTTAAATTATTCCATAGTTTTACCCCACTTATGGAAATACAAAATCTTTTTTTGGTTGTACGTATAGCATGAATTTTTAAATTTAACTGACCCCTTAAATTGTATCCCCCTTCCCTTTCATTAAATAGTTTTTGAATTCCACCAGGTAATAAATTGTTCCTGGCTTTATACAAAAACACAGCAGTCTTATATCCCACTAAATCAAAAAATTTTAACAATTTAGACTGTATGAAAGCTACATTGGTGTGATCCCTATACCCCAACTTATGCACAATTCTTATCGCTCTTTTTTGTAATATATACAATGGTTGAAGTGAGCTTTTGTATGTATTTCCACAGTTTTCAACGCCATACTCTAAGTATGGTAAAATCAATGAAGAATACAAAATGCGTAGTGCTTTCCCATCCAAAATATATCTAACCCTTGCCAATATCGATATATTCTTTGCTATTTTGTGCTGTTTGTGAAACCCAGATGTTTTATACTTAAATGGTGAGGGGCAGTTTGACCTTATGTTTGGAACGCCACGTGAACACAGCGTAAAAAAAACACAAAGTGAAATTAAAACAGGAGTGGTAGGTAGGATATCTGTGTAAAGTAACACTTTGTCCTCTGTGTATTTTATTGAGGAAAATTCAGGTTTGCTGACTAATTTATTTCGGATGTGTAGGATCATGTGCAGGCAGTGAATGACAGAGGAAAACAGTGTCGTCTTCCTCAGCAGTTGCTGTTGCTTTTCTGTCTTCCACTGGGTGGCGCTGTTTGCACAGTATTCAAACAAACCCTTGATTTGTTTTGTTTGTCCTGGCCGAGCAGGTTCTTCAGCTGACTTCAGCTTTAGTGTATTTACCTAAAGAATGACTCAGTTCATTTAAAAAGTTGCTCATAAATAAGCATGCTGGGCATTTGGGTTCAACAAACAGTAAAAAAAAGAAAGACACCTAACAGACAAAAACGAATAAGTGTTGATTTTAAAGAAAAAACATTTTTGCTCACAAATGCAAAGTTGTATATGAAGTAATGAGTTATAAAATCAAAACAGAAAGCATAGAAAGCCTTTAACATGCAGAAGACTTTAATGTAGAAGCATTGTTTTTATTGTAGATAGAATATTTAAAATATAAAGTAAAACAAAAGTCCTCAAACAAACATGGGTCTGATTGTTTCATTTCTCTGTATTGCCCTGTCTAAAAATTACATTTCAACTTAATTTTTACAGCAGTCATAAGACACACACAGAGAAAACTCTTTATGGAAATAGAAAAAAGACTGTTGAAAAGGTGCCCACTCTTTCATTAACCTGTCAGCAAAAAAATCTCGAGTACAATACAGGTGCCCTCAGGCAGCCGGCTTCAGGAGATTTGCCTTAGTGTCTTGCAAGGTTATTGCCTCCTTTGGTGACATTTTGGAGCTTTTCCCAGATCCCCTGTATTGAAAATAGAAATGCATCTGTTTTAGCTTTCTCTCAAATGTTTGTTTATTTGTGAGTAAATCGTCACAGTAGAGCTTTTCCGCGAATTTCTTTTCTCACTGTAAGTGTCAGACCTCCTGTGCACTCTTACTAAAATCAGTGTTTTTGATTTTGGGAAATGCATAAGACATAAGAAAAAGGACCAGACATCCTGACTCCTGGAGATCAAGCTTACCTTTCCTCTACATCTTGCATTGTGTCAGGAAGAGGTGAGCCAAGTGTTTCTGGAAGAAATAGTCCAGCCACCCCGCTGAGGATAGGAGCTCCTCCAAAGATTAACCCTGGCAGCCAAGGTACGTAGTCGCCCATGAGGAGCACCATAGGAGCCACCATGGCTCCTACGCGAGCCATCATAGATACCCAGCCCATGCCATTCTGACTGAAAGAGAAAGTGCAGCTATTAAATGCCAAAAACACAGAATAAAACCCATTCATTCAACGGATTCATCCAATGAAATCAGTAAATAAAGCACATACACTTT